GTACTTGCGCAAGTTGGCAGCAATACGGACATTGCGCACGTGCGCAGCTTAGTGATCTACTATTAGCACATTAGGTTTGATCAGCGAAACCTTGGTTTGTCATAAAAAATAAACTATCGTTTTTGTATTAGCATAAACAAAACGAGGAGCTTCATACGTTATGTAAATAAATCTATTTTCACTAGCAGCAGCATGATCTCTGATTGATTTATATGTGGGGTTTGACGTCCCAAAACCACCATATGATTATGAGAGACGCCGTAGTGGAGGGCTCCGGAAATTTCGACCACCTGGGGTTCTCTAACGTTCACTCAAATCTGAGCACACGGCCTGCAACCTTTCCGCCTCCATAGGAAATGCGGCCGCCGCAGCCGCGATTTGTTCCCGTGACGTGTGGGTCAGCAGCGGAGTACCTTACCCCCGAACGCAGAGATGTTACTTGGCTCGCGACTTCAACTTAACTTGGGCAAGTCGGCGTGAAGCAAGCAGCGGACTTCAAAACGCCCAAGTCAGCCTTCGCGTTTCATAGATGCTCAGGCTGTCTTGCTTGATCAAGTCAAAAACGAGCTTCAGAGCAAGAACACGCTGCTCGCCTGCTAACGAGGGTAATAATGAAGTTGTTCGCGATAGGCACGCATTACACCAAAAAAAGACCATACGCTTTAAAATAACTATAAAAACGAAGGACCACAAGCATATTCTTGCCATTTTACGGCTAACGAGCGGCACGTGGTGCCTGCCACCAAAGCGATGCGCAGTGTTGCTTCTGTAAAGCGTTCGTTGCCCGCTGGTTTTAGTGGCTACCCAAATGCGGTGCGTTTCTCCACGGTTGCTTGTTTGGAGGCGAAACAAGCATCGCGTTGGGTTCTTTCGTCGTTTTTTTTTCTCAATCGAACGCCATGACATGTATTTGTGCTGACCTAGCTCAAGAGGTGACGTGATTTTCAGGGTATTTGCCTTTCTGTTCGCCTGTGTGCATGCCTGTAATGGGCTAGGTCGCAGTTATTATGAAAAAAAAAACAAGTTCTGGCAACAAATTTGATTCGTATCCTTTTGTTGATCTTGGTAAACAAGAGAAAAAGCGGGGGTCAGGACATTGCCCTCAGCAGAATTCTGTCTCGCGCGGTGCAGCAATGTATCGCTGCATGATGGTGACGTGGATAAAAAAAGCCGGGATAGGGGCGCCTCTTTTTTATGTGTGTGTAATTTTACGTAGCATTGTGCTACAAGCGATGTCTTTCTGAGCGAGAAACAGCGCCCTAGACGGGACGAAAGGATAGACGAGGCACACGGACACTGCCCCGAGTCAACTTTTTTTTTTTTACCGAAAGACACGGGAATTGTCGTCGTGTTATAGAAAAACAGAAATAGCCTTTGCGGTTACGGAACACTTCGGCGTTGTCGACACCGGGGCTATTAATACGCACGTGTGTGTAGTCGACACAACCTGTAACGCAAGGGAACTCAGCCACTTCATAACAGTCCGCCGGCTGCGGAAAGCGCACCAGCATCGCGTACAGGTGCTTCGTGATGAGTAGCGTAACTTTTCCGACTGCACGGCACACTGTCCGTTACAGAATGCGGACGAAATTTCCGGTGACTGGTTGGAATGTGCCAGCGCTGTAAAACCTCAGAGCCATCAGTAGCTGTAACACTGGATGCACGGGCTGTCTTCGGTTGTCCCCACATTCACGGAGGGGCAACATGACGAGCAGCCGCCCCACGGCGTTTTTCATGAATCTGTACCTAGCGTGGAATTGTTGCTCGTCGTACAACTCCATCGGATTTCCTTGGTCACGTAAAGCGGTTCCAAGAATCTTCGGCAGGCAGTGCGCCTCAAAAAATGCTACGCTTATGGCGAGGCAAGCAAACTCAAAAGCGGACACCTTTCACGCGATGTCCAATCGAGAGGTGGCCATATTGGAATAACGCACAAAGTCGCTTTCAAGCTAGCCCCACAGCTGACTTGAAACTTGTCCTGACTTCGACCGAGCCAAGTCGCCTTCAAGTCATCCGCAAATTCGAGAACGATTTATGGCGACCGGCAAGACTGTCTTGAGTCAAGAACGAGTCAAGTACGAGTCAAGTACCATCTCTGCATTCGGGGGTTAGCCACTGGACCACCGCGGCGGGGCCAGCGTGATGTCTGCTCTGCACAATGTAATCATTTAAAGGCTTCTTAAATTATGCATCTGGTGATAGAGAATCATCAAGAAGCTGAAACCGGAAATTTCTTGCGTGATGCTTGCTTCACAAGAATATTGTATCATGGGTACATATTGCTCATGATGCGTTCATGTGTTTTTTTTTGTGCCTCATTCTCTTTTTTTCTGTTGAAATAAATGAAGTTTAAAGCCAGCATGAGAGACATATATCGCTAGCATACGTTGTATAGGCAAGCACGTGAATAGGACAGCGCTGCATGCGACTCGAAAACTAAGTTTGCCCCATGCAACTACATATCTAATAATTACACTGTGAGAATCCCTTCTATCATTCGCTTTCTGAGTGTAACCAATATTGCTAGCCTGTAAAGAACTTTCTCTAGCGACTTGTGATCGCACGAAACGCTGCATTACGTTATTGAAGCACATTCACTATTGCACTGCGTGGCCTTGGTGTATACAGCTCAGATATTGCAAGCGGAGCCCCGAGTGTAGGAAACAGACAACCACGTAGTAGAAGACGCATTACTGCTTCTAAACATAATATCGTGGACGGTGAATCTCGCATGTTGAACTGTCAGCCATGCTTTTAAAGGAAAAACTGCTACAGACACCTATTTGTACTACAATAGCCTTGAGGGTAGCGCTTTGGGAGATCAAAGCACCTGCTACCAAGCTTAAAAATTGGCCCCGCATCTGCATTTAATCTGCAAATGTCGTCGAAAGATGATAGTATTGCATGTGGAGAGAGTGAACAATACATTTCTTTCATGTTCTGCTCAAGAAAATTGGTGAATGGTATTCTGGAGGCGCTGCGTTAGAGTGCCTCGAGCGTGCAGCGGAGGCGAACGAGCGCATCAAGTCACGTCACACGTGAGAAATGATAGCCATCTGGCAGTTTTTTTCCAAAACAAAGCATGTAGCTCCAAGACGGGTGTGCACGCCCGCCTCAGAGGTGATAAGATGTAGAACGCAAGGCGACGGGTAGGTGCCACCACCATCTCGTTTTAGCAAAGCGTTGGAAACACTCGCCTTTCCGTGCAAGCGTTGGAAGGTCAGCGCAGCGTGATAAGCGCTACGGTCCTTAAAGTTACTTATGCATGCCTTTCCTAGTAAAAGGCGCACATGCAGAATATATACGTCTTGTTATGGGGCCCCAGACACGCGCAATTGCTTTTTTAATCGACAATTGTACAAGTATGAACGCTGAATCTTGAACATAGGTGGGCGCTGCGGATGGGGTCGGCCGTTTCAAATAACCGATGCTATTAAGAGTGGACAAACAGACAAATGTACAGAGAAACAGACAGACAGAAAGACAAAGAAAAATGTTTTCGTTGAAGGTCCCCAAGAAAGACTGTCATCTTTAATAGTGCTCTGACAAGGCTAAAGGTTTGATAATAAGTCTAAATACGTGGTGTATGTCACAAAAAATGTTGAGAACGCTCGCAACCTTCAGTGTCCAACACTGTATAAAGCGATGGGGACTCTGGGACGGTGAGGCCAGACTTGAAGTTAGCCGTATTCAGACTGTACTATACAGTGCTCATTTGTACTGGTAGGTACTATCGGCATCAAATGAAACGCAAACAGCGCAGCGTGTGGCACAAGCCTTATCAATGACATATTGCGTGCCGTCCACCAGTCATTGACACAGACAGGCCCACACATCCGGTGTGGCAGCACTGCGTGATCCCCCTATAGTGCAACATTTCTGCTTGTGTTCCAGGTATGGTAATAGTATTTGAAAGGAACAAAATTTTTAAAACATACAGAGGTAAACTACTGCAGCCGAAGGCGAGTATTGTAGCACGGTTTGTCATCATGTAGCCCATAATAACGGAACGCCTGACAAAATTCTATTTATAGTAGACAAAACTCGGTTCACAATGCTGGCAATTTCACGCTGTTTCACTTCGTGCCGGTAAAGCGAAACCATTTGCGGTCTCTGTTACGAAGAAGCGTTCGGCATTTCCAGTTAAAGTGAAGCCTTTCCGGTCGGTCTCTGAAAAAAGGGTGTAGGTGAAGCAGCGCTGGCGAACGAGATACGATGATTGTTTTAAAATGAACCGCCAAGCGATTATATTTCCCTTTTTCTTTTATTTTGCCAAGACACTGATTGCATGGTGACGCTGAAGTAAAAGCAAGGGATTGCGAGTGATACAACCAAATACACCCATGATGGCCACCATTATCACCATACAAAAACTGGGGCAGAAACAGGGATAACACACTCTATTGGAGGATCGCGCAGTGCTGCCGAACTGGATGTGCACGCCTGTGAAAGGTGATGACTGCACGGCCAACACTATACTGTTTCTCACGCTTGAAACACGCGCTCCGCTGTTCGGGTTTCATTTGATGCCGATAGTACATCATCAACGTAGCAAAATAGAGCGCTAAACACGGGACAATGAAAGGAAGTGGTGAAGCAGCACTTCGTCCGTCTTTTTCACCGGGAAACATCTCTCGGAGTCTAAGGAAACGTCACTATCCTTTTTTGGTGCCCCATAAAACAAAAATGGTTGTTTTATTTTGCATGCAGCACGGTCTCACCCGGAGCAAAACCTGGTAAAAAAAGGAGCGCTCTTTATTATGTTTAAAAAATAAAACTTATAGGTGCACGCAAAACAATTGGTTGGACTGGAAACACTTCTTTAAAGGGGACTTTATTCGCCAAAATCTGGATATAGGGTCTACAATCTTTTGTTATTGATTTTATTATTGCATGCATTTCACTGCTGGCCTATGTTTAATGAAGTGAAATAATTCTGAAGTCTAAACACATTGTGCTCTCTTTGTACCGCTATTGAAATGTACCGCCTTTTCTTGCAGGAGTCCCAGAGATTGTATCCATCAGTTCCATTCATCTCTAGAAAGTGTGAAGAAGATGCCGTAATTTGTGAGCTCTACTCTTATTTATTTCGTCAAGTGAAGAAAGAGTTTCTTTCCTAATTAATTTTCGTTAACATGTGTTCATTTTACTACGCTTTGAACCTGTTAGGAAGCTCACTTTTGGAGTGCTTGATTTCGAGTGCTTTGTGTGTTCACAGCCGTAGTTAACTTCATAGAAAGCGCCGGCATCATTTAGAGCATCGGCAACGTACATTTAGAAAATGTCAAATATAAAAACGACACAGTTTTCACCTTGCAGGGAGAAAAAATTATTTTTATGTTCTCCTGAAGCGCACTAGCAAACCTTCTTCACAATGATCGAACGATGTGGATCGGCAGCCGAGGCTCCCGCGAACACGCGCGCAAAATTTCGTACCGCAGCATGCGGCTTGTAATTACGGTTAATTCATTAACTCAGTGAGGTAGAAATCGTTTCTCTTTTTCTCTCCAAATGATCCCATTGACCCGAATGAGCACGCCATATGCCCGAAATTAATCGCCACTGGCTTAGTGGAGCACCCTGAGTTGCATAGTTGCGGCGGCCGCCACGGCAGCCCGCCACATGCCTGCGTACGCTTGCGATCACATTTTAAGTAAACGCTGTGGTTTGAAGAAAAAAAAGAAAGAATTACAGCGAGCTCCACTTGCAGATGGTTAATTGCTTTCTTATCTTCGTCGGCTGACTCTAAATGGAAAGTGAGTTCTTCGCTGCGCGGTAACTAGCAGGGCGGCTGGGCCACGTGCGCAGGAGCCTCGAAAAGAAGCGACTTGAGCCGTTGGTGATAGTTTCAAGACCGGTTTAGAGAAGGTGATTAGAAGGTTAGAAAGGAAAGAGATAGATAAAATGGGAAGAAGGAAAAATCAGAGGTGGTTCTACGAAGGCTACCGTGGAAATCATGTGGGCGGAACTCCCTTCGCTCCCGCCGCCTTCCTGTTGGTGACTCTCCTTTCAATCCATGAAATTGGGCTGCAAAAATGAATCCATTCGATTTTGTCTATAGGATGGGAAGGCAGGACCAACCCTTCGGAATCATTATCATGCTTCCCCGCAATGAGCACACATTCATTCCTGGTTGTCTGTCCCTTGGGGGCTGCCTAAGCGTTGAGCCTAAGCGGGTACTAGGCTTGCACTGGTCGTCGAAGTTCCCTTTTGTTTGGCAGAAGTGTCTGTAGTCAACCAGGAAATGTGCAGCTGTCAATGGCATAAGCTCCCCCGCGTCCGTACAGACGAAGGTTGAACGACGGAAATTAACCACAGCTTCTGCCTAAGTTAGAACTTTGGAGAAGCTGTTGTAGTAGAGATCGTGAGACACTGTTCTTAAAATCGTTGTTTTGCGGAGCTCAGGAAGCCTCCGGCGTAATTTGTTCAATCGGCCTTGCACATCAGGAGGGGTCTTTTCGTCCTATGTTGTATCGCACACCCTAAGACTCTGAAAAGTCTACTTCGCGGTGATAGTAGTGGGTGGGAGGGAACCATACGAGTCAAAAATGAGTGCTGAGAACTGTAGTAGAAATTGCTTTGTGTCCTGCCGACTTACCAAGAATCCAATCAGGGTGGATATCTCAAAAACAAACGCATCTGTATCGGGCCTCAATTCAACACCGACAATTTTTGTAAGGTGCGACTCCGGTAGAGCCTTCAGGGCTGTCTCAGTCTCAGCAAACGATGCCATTAAAGCTGGATTCTTCAATCGCCTTTCAATCAGGTTCATGCCTGTCATCTCGAGTATAAATTGACCTTTATTGCGTATCTGCTCCGCCGCTTCTAGACTGTAAGCACCAGTAACGAAGTCGTCCACATACAGGTTGTCACTGAGGATCTTAGCGGTGCGAAGAAAATTCTCTTTCATACTTTTTAAATGATGACGTAAGGTGACTGCGAGAAGTTAGGGGCTTCACGTAGCGCGAAATGGTACCCTTGTCATTCGGTATTCTTCAATTGGGGGTGGCATTTCGTCTTGCTTTGGTGTATTTCGATGCCACAGAAAGTGGAGGGCGTTACAATCTTTCTCAACCAGCTGAATTTGGAGAAAAGTTTTTTGAATGTCTGTTATTATGGCCACATTGTGCACTCGAAATCGAATTGAAATGTCTGATATACTTGGATTTTGGTAGGGTCTTGCATAGAGAATGTCGTTCAATGATAGCTTCCCTGTTTCTTTGGAGGACGCATCAAATACGAACCTCGACTTGGTTGTTTCGCTATCTGGCCGAGCAACTTATCAGTGTGGCATGTAACAAATGAGCTCCTGCGGGGACTAATTCAGTTGATTGGCTTCTTCAGCGTGTCCGACTTGCAGGTAGTTCCGGATTGTCTGGTCATAACTGCGGATCGGTTCGTCATTTTGCAGTAGTTTTGGAGACAGTGAGTGAAGCCTGTGCGATGCCGTTCCCCTGTGGTCAGTTATCTGTGATTCATTTTCTTTCCACGGGAGCCCGACTTCGTTTCGATGGTTCCTTTAGGCGGTGGTGTCCTCAAATTCCCTGAGAACGTCGTCATTTTCAGTGGTTAGTGGTGCGTGATCGATGATGTCAAGGTGTTTCAGTTCCCAGAGTGATCTAAGTTGACGAGAAAAGTCATCTGGTTCCTGGTTCACGCTAACGCACATCACGTCGACGCTCGTCAGGTGCTTTGAAGCAGACGATGTTGTGTCACATGTGCCCTGCAGAAGCCATCCAAACATAGTCTCTGTGGCTACGAGCCTCTCGTTGATGTGTTTGATACTACCAGCATTGATGCCCCAGTATTAATCAGCCCCAACAAGCAGTTCTATTTTAACTCCAGACTGGTAGCCGTCAGATACTGAGTCAGCATGTTTGAGGCCATGTTTCTGTACTAGATGGGTAACGGTGTCGTCTGATCGTGGAAGCAGGTCTCTTCTGCTGATTTCGGGTATCTCGAGTGCTTAAATGCGTACTCTGGTGTTGTCGCGCCAGTTTTTGAGGCAGCATTCCACCCGACGACGGCATCTTTCCTCCGACGGCCTCTGGCTTCCGAAGGTATAAATGGTCAGCTTCTCTTAACCTATGATGTGAAGCTTTAGACGATGGAAAACATCCTCTCGTATGAATGTTCTCTGGCTACCACTATCGAGCAGCATTCGCACCAAAGTAGTCTTTTCTTCTTCTGCAAGCGCTTGTGTCATCTGTAGGAGTACCCTTGCCTTCCCTCGGGTTCGTTTCATATATGTAGCTATGACTGGACTGTGACACCGGCTGCTGAAACACCTTCACTTGGGGGAGGCTGCGCTACTCTTTGTTGAGCTCGCAGACGCCCATTGCGCGCCGTCCTGAGCCCTTGGCACACTCAAGCCACTTCGATGTTCGACCTTCGGCGGCACAGTGATTTGCTTTCGCGCACTTCTAATAGCACCGCTCCCTTGACATCACCGCCATTTTCTTGTCTATTTGAAGACAGATGACACAGTTTCACAAGGTGTGCCCTTCTTTATCACAAAGATCCAGAGGACCTCACCTCCAGTGACCGCTAGAGCAGACGCATATGATGTTTGATGACGATCTGTAGTGATTGAATTTCTGTTTGATAGCGGCGTCAGGAACAGGTCGTATTGCGTGCTGGGCGCTCTCCCCACTCTCTACCGCCGCCTTCAGGTAATTCAGGAACTGTGGATGGTCATCCTCATAAATGGGTTCTGATGTCTTTCTCCTGTAGTTTCGAGGCAAAGCTAATTCGGGATGCTTTCCAAGAGAAGTGTCAGTAAAAGCATGCCGTACGTGCTCGAAGCCACACCCACTGCCTCGAGACTGTGGACACCCGCCTGGAGTTCATCGTAAAGAATCCTTTGCCTCCCGGTGTCTTAAAGACCGCAAGCAATCGCTACGTGTGCTCCTCAATCATGACTTCGTCCCTGCCAAATATTTTGACCAATGTTTTTGCAGCAATTCCGTAGTTCTGTTCACTGTGTAGCAGTCCGTCGATAGCAGCCGCAGCCTTTTCGCTTGGATAGCTGGTCAGATACTGGAACTTGTCGATGGTATGGAGCGTTGGATTTTCGTGAATTGTGCACTCAAACGGGTTCCAGAACCTGGTGCATGAGCATAGATTCCCAATAAACTTCGCAATGTACAGCTTCGAAGCTTTGGTTGTCAATGACGGCAACTAGACCGCTGAAAAAATCACTGCGTTCTGAACATAACCAGAATGTACTTCGTGTTCTGAATCATTTGTTGTTGATGAGGTGCTGGACCTCGTTTCGCTTAAGGCTTTGTTCTTTAGCAGTCGCTTGATTTTGGTTGTTATGCTGGTGATCTTTTTGTTATAGCCAATGCATTTGGTGAGTGTGGAATCGAGTTCCTGTAGCTAAATCTTCTTCTTGATGGCGTCTTTGACTATCTTTTGTTCATTTGCTTGCTCAATGAGATTTTCAAAATGTTCTTCGAGCCAACCGATTGCAGTGGCTGGCGCTTGCACCAAGACACTCCTCTCTGAGACGATGGCTTCGATGGCGTTTCGAAGGGTGGCTTGCTTGTTCTGCAGTCGCTTCATGAAGCTTTCGATGGCATTGATTGATTGATTGATATGTGGAGTTTAACGTCCCAAAACCACCATATGATTATGAGAGACACCGTAGTGGAGGGCTCCGGAAATTTCGACCACCTGGGGTTCTTTAACGTGCACCCAAATCTGAGTACACGGGCCTACAACATTTCCGCCTCCATCGGAAGTGCAGCCGCCGCAGCCGGGATTCAAACCCGCGACCTGCGGGTCAGCAGCCGAGTAGCTTAGCCACTAGACCACCGCAGCGGGCGCTTTCAATGGCAGCTGGCGAAATAATTCTGAGTTTCGGCACCAAAAAGTGTAGATGATTACTTTGGATCTAATATTCGTCGGCTGACTCTAATTGGAAAGCAAACTCTTTGCTGCGTGGTAACTAGCAGCATGGCTGGGCCGCGTTTTCAGGAGCTTCGAAAAGGAGTGAGTCGACTTGTTGGTGACAGTTTCTAGACTGGTTTATTGAAGGTGACTTGAAGGTGAAAAAGGAAAGA